TACACCGCAAGATAAAAACACCGTTTGTCCTGGCTCGGGCTCCTTGTCCTGCAATTGAAAGTATCAGGGAGTAAAGGCATGGAGCAGAATCAGTTGATGTTTGATCTTGCCACCTGACCATTCACTTTAAGATGTGGAGAAGGCGTGGAACTTTGAAACTCTTTCAGGAGTGCCCGCGCGACATTGCCTTCTGAGATTTCTTGAGTACGGCCCACTTCGAGTTTTATAGTATCTATCGGCTATATTCGTCTATGCCATGTCTATTGACTATGCTATGAGTTGACTTGAATTACCCGCTCCATTTAGGACAAAGTCTGCCAATTCCAAAAAACCTGACCTCCCCCACCCTCACGCGTAAAAACATATGGTTGAAGATCCCGCAAAGCAGGGACCATGGATTGCAGCCCAGTAGCCAGCTTCTGACTGAAGCCGGGAGCCGTCCCACACCTTGACGATTTTGCGCACCGTTGGCCATTCTCTTGAACTTGATTTGTCTTCCATGTTGGTGACATGGTCGACCACCGCATTGCCATGTGATAGGCACAGCCATGTGATAGGCATCATCATGGACCAAGGCTGCGGTGCCGTGCAGATGCTACAGTCGAAAGATTGGGCCCTGAGGATCTTTTTGCACTTCAGGCACTGAGCCGGTGCGGACCTCAGTCCCTCCAAAGAGACCAACACATTAGCAAACATGTATTTGTTGAATTTGTTGAGTCAAGAACTGTATTGTCTTGTCACCACAGATTTGCATCCAGAAATCCCACAAAGCTGCAAAAGTGAAAGCTGTAGATTGCAGTAGGCAACAGTATTTACAACAAACATCAAATAGCATCAATAAATTATAGCCTGTAGCAACTGCTCAAGTGAAATCAAAACAATTCAAATCCCAGAATCTCGTTTTCTCACCAGAGATTTGGATCCAAAAATATGCCATGACACCACAAATAGTCAAAAAAGTGCCCTCTCTCCACGGAGCCGTGGGAACTTTTCGGCTCCCATGGCGCTCCACGGCCGAGGCTCGCGGAGGTGCTGGTGGCCCGCGGCGCCTTGGCGGAGGCGGAGCCGCTGCGGCGCCGAGGCCTGGAGGGCTTCGAGCGGCTGGTGGGCCCCGAGCACTGCGTGACGCTCACCGCGGTGAACAACTTGGCGTCGGTGCTGCAGGACCTGGGGAAGTTCAGCGAGGCGCCGCTGATGTGCTGTGCTGCAGTCACCGTGGCGGGTGGATGGTGCTGCATTTTGTGTTGGGCCAAGTTGGGAAAAATGCAGGGAAACAATCAACGCATTTTCAGATCGTCTCATTATTTTAAATAAATTTTGTCATCTATGTAGAAGTGCGATGATGCATGAACAATGAACATGTCAATTTTACGCAAATCAACTCAAATCACGTCATGTATGGACGTGCCAAAACATTGACATGTTAAAGTTTAGCAAAAGATGTTTGCAAAGAACAGATGCCGCGTTGCAAGTTTCAGTCTGAGATGTCTGAGGCTGTCAAAGTGTTTTTGCAAAAAAAACACAGAACAGATGCACCCTGAGGTTGTAGTTTATTTGCAAATGGAAGATTGGAACAACGATTACGCACATCCAAATTATGTTGAAATGTCAACTCGTGGAACTTTGCGTTTGATTCTTCGAGTTTTGAATTATGTGTGCATTTACATGGTATAATTGTACTTGACATCTTTTTCACCAATCCAAACTCAAGGCCGTTGCCCACCTTTCTTCCCTTTCCACATGGTACTCGCAGGCAGATCCAGGCCTGCAGGCCCCACACCACCGGTGCCATCCCGAGACGCCAGGCGGAGGCCCTGCACCGCCGAGCTCTTCCAGGGCGCGAAGCGCACCTCGGTGCGAATCATCCGCACACGCTTCAGTCCATGAACAACCTTGCCACGCTCCTGGAGCAGCAGGGGAAGCTGGCTGAGGCGGGGCTGAGGTCTTTGGATGGAGAGAGGTGACCTTCCTGGAGGGCGTTTCACCAAGGGCATTTTTTTGTTTGGCCAAGGCCTGAGGCCTGGATTTGTTCTTTTCAATTTCCCGGTATTATTGGGTCACCTTTTTTGAGCGAACTAACACAAATTAATTAATTAAGTCCATGCCAAATGAAAGGAGAACATTGCTGAGACCCCCATCCACAAAACTGTTAGTTTCATAGTTGTAATCGGAAAAATGAAAATATTGCAAAACTCTCACAGTATATATTTTTATATTATATACGCATGCTCTGCTATTTTGCACCTCCGAAGTTTTACCCAAATTCAGTATATAGTTGAATTGCTCGCGCATGAAATCCATACATGCATGTGCATCGGTGCCAAGGATCTGTCCTCCAATTCAAAACAGGTGAGTCAACCTTGGGAGCTTGCATTTTCCCGCAATCTAAAACTATGAATTCTCAGCGGAAAACTAAGAAAAGTACAAACTCCTTTCAAACAGAGTTCATCCCCTCAAGACTCTGAAGAATCTTTGGAGCTTGTTAGGCAGAAAAGAACTGCACGGTTGTGACGTCACACCGAGAAACACAACAGCATAGTGATGTCAATACCAATTTGGCGCGGTTCAACAAACACCTTAGATTTGTGTCTTTACAGAATCAGTTAGCCAAGGCTGCTTGTAAGACCCTTCTTCACGACACCAACACCTCTTTAAGTGATTAAACCGGGACTCTTGATTCTATATGCAAGAGTTTCCGGACCGCGATAAAACACATGCAACACATGTATTTCACAATAGGCGACCGAGGCCACATACAGTTTATTGATTTGAGAACGATGACGAAAGCGGGCAACGATTGTCCCAGGAGTGTGAAATTCTCCCTAAAGAGGCAAAGGTGGAAGAACCCCCACAGGATCAAAATCAGCTAAATGGGAACGATCGTGTGCCAGTTGCTTGCGTGAGGAATCTGTGAAAATCTGAAACTACGAACGTGAATTGGCACGTCAAAGTGGTTTGCCAAGAGTCTTCAAAACACTGAACAAAGCACAGCTTGCCAAAAAGGTTGCCAACAGGTACAGACCCAGCGTCCCTGTTGCCATCTGAAGTTTGCAAAATTTATGTGATATGTATGATCGTAGATGGCCGCACAGGCACATGTTTGACTGTGACAGTATCACCAGTTCAGGTGAACCTGTGAAGGGAGTATTTCTTGTTATATGCAACTAACCTGCCTACATCTTCGGCAGGGCTTTTCGAGGCCATAAGCAATGTTAACCCGTTTATTATTTTGGAGGCGTTCGACAATGCTTGAGATGATGACAGATCATCCGAGCCGTAGCCACCTCTGTGTTGTTTCATGAGCGGGCCAGCAGTGTGAGCAAACACGGTGAATAATCTGATTTATATATATATTGCAGTCTACTTGGCAGCCCGTGAGTTCAAAGAGTGCTTGATGAGCGCTTGGAATAGTATTTTCTCACCGCTAGTGCAAAAATTGTGGCCTTTGTTGGCTTATGTTGGCTTTTCCTCCCTTTCCATAACATCGGGGTCTGAGCTGGGGTTCCCCATGTTTCACCACCTTAGCGCTCCATCTCGAGCCGCCAGGCAGAAGGTCTCCACCGCCGAGCCTTGGAAGGCCGCGCGTCCCAACTGGGACCGCAACATCCCAGCACGCTCAAGTCGGTTAACAACTTGGCCCTTGTCTTGAAGATGCAAGGCAAGTTGGAGGAGGCGGGGATGAGGTCTTTGGGGTGCAGAGAAGTGGCCTTCCTGGCACTGTCGAGAGGAAGGCATTTCGCATGTGGCCAGGACGAGACGGGTGAGTTTTCTTTTCCCAGTTTCACCGGAGCAATTTGGGAATGTGAATTGATGCCTAGGCTGATGTACGAACAGATTTTGATTTGAGTTTGATGGGGAAGCATTTCTCGCCTGAGTGTTGGACAGCATTGCTGTTGGTGAATTTATTGTGAAATTGTTGGGTTAACCACCAAAGACACGGGCCAAGCAAGTCAGAAGGCCTTGACTATTTGACTATCTTAAGTGGAGGCAAGTATCGTAGTTTTTCGTGGCACCTCGTTCTGAATTCAAAGAGTGCTTGACGAGCGCTTGGAATAGTATGTTCTCACTATAGTCCAAAAATGGTGGCCTTTGTCCTTTGTTGGTTTATTCTTCCCTTTCCATGACCCATGGGGCCTGAGCTGGAGTTCCCCATGTTTCATCACCTCAGTGCTCCACCTCGAGCCGCGAGGCGGAAGGGCTGCACCGCCGAGCCTTGGAAGGCGGCGAGTCCCAACTGGGAGCCCAACACCCCGACACCCTCGTCTGGGTGAACAACTTGGCCCTTGTCTTGAAGAGGCAGGGCAAGTTGGAGGAGGCGGGGCTGAGGTCGTTGGGGCTTGGGGCACGCAGAGGTTGCGGAAGTGTCGAGGGGAAGGCAGTTCTCGCGTGGCCAGGACAAGGGACCGGTGAGTTTCTTGTTTCCAAGTTTCACCGGAGCAATTTAAAAGTTCTGTTTATGAGAAGTTTGATTTTGCATGTGGGACTCGTCTTGGTAAGTTTGCTTTGAAAATTAATGTCACACAGCATTGTCGCCGGAGAATTTGATGAAATGACCCCACAAGACGCGGGCCAAGCAAGCAGGACGTGCCAGGGTCGCAAACTCATGAAACTGTTTCTCCGGAATCCAAGCTTCGTCTGTAGATACCAGATTGGGCCTAATTCGTTTGACTGGGTTGTTGGATCTCAACAGCAGTACATGCATTTTGTGCAAGGGTAGATCAACATTGTCTTCCAAGAAGTGAAACTTGGTAGCTCGGTTCTATTTAGAGCTTTGGCTGATGCATCGATAATGTGTGCCAGCTTCACGCAGTACAAGAAAAGCCTTCACCCTGGCTTCGTGGTTCCCACCATCCCATCCTATGCAGATCAGATTCTCATTTTCTCATTCTCAGATTTGCAGGTTTTGGTGTTTGAACAATCAATGTGCCACACTGCATCACCAACAACACATTGCCTTTCACCAGTTGCGGATCACAGCACAAGGCCCATCTCGCTACGGCATGGGGCGCCACCCTGCTGTCGCCCATCCACAGCCCACCCTGCAGGCGGAGGAGCTCCATCGCAGGGCCCTGAGTGGGCGAGAAGATCAGCTCGGCCCTGTGCATCCGGACACCTTGAGCTCCGTCCGGAATTTGGCAATTCTTCTGGAGGTGAAAGGCTCCGTTGCAGAGGCGAGGGGAATCTCGGTCGGCTGGTGTTGCTGCCTGGGGCGGTTCTGCTTGGAGGGGATGTAGATGTGGGAAGTTGTGGTTGATGGAAGTCGAATCAGTGGAATAGTTGTGGTTGAGCAGATCTCACTTTTGGCAAAAGTGTTGTGGAACGATTTGAAATACATTGAAAGATGTGCCTTTAAAGCTTTCCAGATGAGGTTTAGTGACATTCTTGTTGGGTATGGCCAACCGACATTGAGACATGCCAAGTGATGCGGTTGCAAGGTGCGTCATCAGGTTGGGTCCCGAGGGGCCACACACCATGTGCACCGCATCACGTCCAGGCGGGGCAGCTTTATCTCCGCGAGTTGCGTGGCCTGGAGGCCTCTGCCAGGGTTACACGGGAAAAGTGGATTTTCCGCCTGGTGGCCTTCGATCCAGACATGACGAAATTTGGAGTCCCGAAGTACTGTAGGTACATCGGTCGAGGTCGCCTGTGGTTGAATTCCATCAAAGATGCGGCATCTTCAAGCCGTATTCATTTTTTGCAAGGGGCCTGAGGCCTGTTTCTATGTTTTCCTTTTTTTGGCATTTGGTGCCATGGCATTCAGTGTTGCACGTTCAGGCTTGCTGTCAGCTATCAGTGTGGCTTAAACATGAAACCATTGAACCGGTTGGCCAACACAGAGTGGGTTTCGCGGCTATAGCTGATTTTAGAGTCTCAAGGTCAGAGTCGCATTGTGAACCGTCAGAGACACTAACTGAATTCCTCCTGGACATTTTCAAATTAATCCATATATTTGCATATATTCGCTTAGTTTTCCCAACAGGAAATTGTTCAATGGCGTCCGCTGCGACTTCAAGCCTGCTTGCAGACATCAACTGGAAATAAAACGGCTGTACTTGTTAGAAGTATAGGTGCCTGTACGTAAAATCTCGACAGATCCAGACAGGTTTCAAACCACTCGGTCCATGATACCCCTGACGGCAGGAGCTGCATGGGCCGGAGCACGAAGAGACCCAAGCGAGCCGCCGCAACTTGCAGCTTTTCCAAGTAAGGCGGTGGGAAAAACCCACAAATTGCTTTCAAGACGCTCACTGGCCACATGGTTTTCACTGCAAGTTGTTTTTTTTCTAACGACAAGTTGAAGATCTTTACTGAGATTTAAAGATTGTTTTGCTGCTTTGACCCGCTGGAAGATTATCCATTTGAAATTCTAGACTTGTTGCAGCTTGGGTTTAGCAAGGGATGGACGTGCCAGATTGTCCTGCACTACCGATATACAGCAGTTTTCCAACATGCTGAGTTGGTTTGACTTTTGGGCTCCAATCATGCTGCCAGCGGGATTTGTGGTTGATTTGTTTCAGAAAGCTCAGATTTGTTCCGCAAGTCTCCACTGGCTGGCTTGCAGGTCACGCATCAGAGAAAATTGTAGCATTGCTTGACATCGCAAGAAGCTATGATCAGTGGTCAATATCTATCCCGTTTCACCCGTATCCATAGGGCCCAAAGTCGGCACTTTGAATTGAAGAGCGATCCTTCATGAAACAAAGTGTTGTCGAATTGATCGCGTCATGTCTTGCCCGGATCACCGTTGTGGAGCATGCTGTTTGGTCCCGCGGCAGTGACTCGGAAATCATCCTACAACAAAGATATTGTCAATTGATGTCAATTGTCAATTTCAGGGAAATCTGTGTCAGGACCCGACCTGTAAACCCAAAACCCTTAGGTTGATTGTTCTTGTTATCCTTCGCAAGCAAGAGATTCTGCAGCCGTGAGCAGACAAGTTCCCACACAAAGACTACAGGCCACAAAGCCTTTAAGTGCAATATGGATATCCACCACATGGTGATTGGTGATCAGTGAAATTCTTCACACACGTTTGTCCTTCTTGAGAGCATTGATAAAGCTGAAAAGCTTTTGATGGACAATTTGCTGTGCAGTGGCCCTTTCACATCTTGCAACGAATCGCAACTTAGCAACCGGTTTCTTGATCCAGTGGGAAGAGTTTTGAAACACAGACGACTTGGATAATTTGGATCTTGCTCCACCTGCTCCGCCCTTGCCGGAGCCATGTCTCGCACACCTCGGTGTCATCGACTCGGTGAGTCCGAGACTCAGGCGGGGCAAACTCCAAACGAATTTGACGCCCCTGACTCCTGACGGGAGTTTATTTCAACCCCAGAGGTTTCTCACATCTGGGTTGAACAGAGCAAAACAATGTAATACCCCCAACCTTCCCCAGGTGGGCCCAAGATAAGCCTGTTCATTTGGCAACCGGCGCCGGGTGCCAGATGAACACGCTTATTTTGGACCTTCAAAAAAACACATATATCATCATATATCCAGATGGCCCAGCATAGGGCCAACATGTCCCAACATAGCCCAAGAAAGGCCAAACACGAGCGTAAAAATTGATTCAATATTGATGATAGAGAAAAGCAGCTAGAGCAGGAACTTGGAGTGACCTGGCGTCACGCTGAGCGCCGATTGGATGTTCTTGGTTTGAAATGGGGCCTTCTGGCGCTATTGAAGCGTGATCCCCGGACTCAATCAGATACTAGGGCGTGAGCAAAATAGTATTGCAATTTGTTTGACATGGGAGGTGTGGACTGAGGGACCTACTTGTGCGTATATGAATAGATCCAACGGTTCCTGTGGCCAGCTAATTTTATTTGTTTTTTCTTTCGAACTTGTGCCGCTTGAATTTGTTTATAATTTTATTTCTAAATTGCCCTGGGAAATATCATTTTAAGGTTTAACATGTCGGAGATTCTATTTCAACCGCAGGTTGGCGTGACATTTCCCCCTTGACAGGAGTTTGTTTTAACCCCAGAGGTAAGGTTTCTCACATTTGGGTTGAAAAATATGCCTAATATTTCCCAAGCGGACCCAGAATAAATGTGTTTACCTGGCAACCAATGCCGGGTACCAGATGAATACGGTTTCTTGTCCTTAAAACAGTATATAATAGTGTATATATATATATATATATATGTGTGTGTGTATACGCATATATATATATATACATATAATTACATCTAGATGGTTTAGAAAGGGTTAACATGACCCAACATGGGCATAAAAAAATAATTGTATACACGGTATAGATTTAATTTAGATAATATAGAAAAGCCTTTATGGCTATAACTTATATAACAGTAAGTTGAACTGACCTGGAGAAAAAAGAAAAACATCTCTTTACATGCGTCATGCGTGATATAGAAAGGCTTCAACATGTGCAGGACAGGTCAAACGACTAAACTGACTGATCGAGTGCAAGGGTTGCACTCGGCGCTGAGTGGATGGTTTTTGTTTGGAATGGAATTTGGGTCCACGTAGACCCTCACCTTTTGGCACTCTAGAATCATCACCCCCAGTCAGTCAGGTACAAGGTCAGGACATAAACAAAATAATTTCCTAAACGCGCTTGACTTGGGAGGTACAATTTTGTAAAGGCCTACTTTGAAACAAATAAATGTGCTCAACGGTTCCTTGGGCCACTTGATTTCATAGTTGATTTTGTTTGCCGTTGAACCTACGGCGGTTGATTTCATGGAGGTTTATGTCCAAATTGCCCTGGGGGGTTTTGTTTTAAGACTTTGAAATCGGGCCCCTCAAGGAACCCGTCACATATTACAAAGGGAATATGATAACCAACGTGGTACGGCAGGTCATTTTGGTTCAATTTCCTGTTTCGTAGGTGAAGCTTCCAGTTCTAGGAATCAGAACGTCCTTTTATTCACCCGCATGACACATAGCAGATTAGATTCAAGAGATGTCCACATCTTCCGGGTTTAAGAGCCCTGCTACGGATTCAATGGATGGAGGAGCCCACCACCCATGATCACCCACTATTTCCATCAGCACCTTCCCATGCCCGATGAGGTTTTTTCCGCCTGAAGGACGTGGGATCTGGCAAGGCATCCTTTTTGCCGCCTTTTTCTGGTGCTGGAATGCAGATTTTGTTCGGTTGGCTTATGTTTTTTTGAGTCAACAAGAATTATATAAATCAACATGTTTCTTGAAATGCCACTATTGTGTAGTTTAGATTTTAATTTCGGTTCAGCAAGCCATCCATCACTTTGGAATATACCGCATCACCAATGACTTGGGCCTTTCCCGCGTTTTTGTTTGCTTCAGAGGCACTGGAACTTTCTGTTTCAGTGCCACCTTCCTCGGTTTTTTTTCCACTCCAGGCTTGAAATCGACCCTGAGGGAGTCAAGTCACCAGCCAAATTCAAGGACCGGTCGTATGGCGTAAAAGGCTTACATAGGATTTCCGTTTGTAGCAGGACCATACCCAGCATTGTAGAGTACATTGATTCGTACGGCTGTTTGTATTGGTCACAAAGGTTCCCTGCACTTGGCATGGCCCTTGTGAATCATCAAGAGATGCCATCAGCATACCGCAGCATGGAGGAGCATAGGCTAGCATACGGCAGGGGGTTGCTCATTATAGGAAAAATGGTAGCTTAGTCAATCGTTTTCCACGTGTTTCTTTTGAACCGTTCTAGCAAAAAAAACGGTTTTGAGCTCCAAACAGGTTTTTGGATTGGAGGGGTATTTTTTTGCATTTTTTTTTTGGTTTCTGTCTTCTGGCTTTTGTGGCTTTTGGCTTCTGGCTTTTGGCTTTTGGCTTCTGGCTCCTTCGGTTTCTGGCTTCTGGCTTGTATTTGCTGCATTTTGGAGCCAAAATCTCTGATTTGCGTGCTGTTTGCTGCAGTTTGGAGCCAATTTGCATGCCCATTTGGCTTTTGGCTTTTGGCTTGTGGCTTCTGGCTCCTTCGGTTTCTGGCTTCTGGCTTGTATTTGCTGCATTTTGGAGCCAAAATCTTTGATTTGCGTGCTATTTGCTGCAGTTTGGAGCCAATTTGCATGCCCATTTGGCTTTTGGCTTTTAGCTTTTAGCTTCTGGTTCCTTCGGTTTCTGGCTTCTGGCTTGTATTTGCTGCATTTTGGAACCAAAATCTCTGATTTGCGTGTTATTTGCTGCAGTTTGGAGCCAATTTGCATGCCCATTTGGATTTTGGCTTTTGGCTTTTGGCTTTGGCTTCACTTGACTCGTGGCTTTTGGTTTTTGGTTTTTGTTGTTTTTTTTGGCTTTGGTTTCACTTGGCTTTTGGCTTTTGGCCGCACTTCTGTTGAATGTATGTGTAGTATTGTAGTTTGCATATAACATTTCATAGTTTCATAGAATACACTGCAAATAAATTGCATGTAAACTGCACAGAAACTACAGTCGTAATATGAGCTTATATGCATGCTGTTGTGAGAGGAATTGAGACCTGTTTTACACAAGTTTCCCAACTACTTGCTGTTCCTAAAGTTCTTCAGACCCTATTTCAAGACACTTGTTGAACTGTTGTTCTCCAACTATATTTGCTTGAATTGTGTTTCACCATGGTTGCATGGCAGTCAGAAGTTTCCCTGTGTACCTTTGAGTTTATATGCATGCTTATCGGAGAGAAACTGCAACCTTTTTCAACATCAAGTGTCCTAACGAGTTCTTTTTTTATGTCTGAAAAAAGTATCTCAGGACACTTGTTGAATCTGGCCTCCTACTATATCTATGTGAGTTGATATGTGTGAAAACCTAAAGAAACCCTAAATGACACCCCAAACGAGCCCTAACTAACGAAATTAAGAATGAACCCCTAAAGAAATGCCAAATGACACCCTAAAGAAACCCTAAAGAAACCCTAAATGAAAGAGACCCTATTTCAAGACACTTGTTGAACTGTTGTTCTCCAACTATATTTGCTTGAATTGTGTTTCACAATGGTTGCATGGCAGTCAGAAGTTTCCCTGTTACCTTTGAGTTTATATGCATGCTTATCGGAGAGAAACTGCAACCTTTTCAACATCAAGTGTCCTAACGAGCTCTTTTTTTTATGTCTGAAAAAGTATCTCAGGACACTTGTTGAATCTGGCCTCCTACTATATCTATGTGAGTTGATGCGTGCGAAAACCTGAAGAAACCCTAAATGACAGCCCAAACGAGCCCTAACGAAATTAAAAATGAAACCCTAAAGAAATGCCAAATGACACCCTAAAGAAACCCTAAATGAAAGAGACCCCATTTCAAGACACTTGTTGAACTGTTGTTCTCCAACTATATTTGCTTGAATTGTGTT